ACCTCCAAGGGAGCTTGGCGAAGTAGAGCAGTGTCGCCCGCGTACTGTATCTACAAATCAAGGCCCCGGAAGTGTTTTGTCCCCGAGGCCTCAGAGATAGGCATAAGAGTTTGAAGCAACACAGTAACAAATTTGGAGAAGAATGATGAGGAGAAGCAGCCTTTTCTTACACCACTGGAATTGTTGAACTCAGGCGAAAGCTTGCCACATGTACTCATGGTGATCCACGGAAGGTGACTGAATCAGTCGAAATGGTGCGTAGTGTCCTCCCTCGGCGACGAATCTATCAGTGCTCTTCGTCACTCACCGTGCTCTTCCTGATTGTCCGATGTTTGAGGGATTTGTGTGGCCATCCTGGTTGCTAGTTGCTTGTATTGCTCCAATGATGCTGACATATGGCTTCTAATGGTACCACTGTGATAATCTGATTTTGACGATATCCGTTGATTCGGTCGAATCGGATGGCTTCGACAGACGGTCTCACAAGCTTATAGCATAACCGCTTTCATCTTTCAGTTGGTCTTCATTGTCAGCACGACTGCATTGGTAGTATTTTTTCAACCAAATAGGCTACTGAGTTACTCAAACTCATCGGAGTTGATGAAGAAACTACTCCGTTTCGGTTTGCACTATCCTGAGGAAAGCAGTGAGTGGATAGCCAAGTCCGCACAATGGCAAGATGGCTGTCAAGTGATAATTCTAATTTACCCCGGCCAAAGCGGAGGTACCTTACTTGTGTCCGTGACTCAGAAGGTGGCAAGTAGTCCCATCTCAAATCCAACGGTCTGGCCGCGTGGCTGCCGATTACTGGCCTGTTCCGCTGATGCATTCAGTAAGATGTGGATGCCCTAATTCTGATGCTTCTGGGCACAAAGGCGCCTTTAGAGTCGCCCGGGTGGTTGATAAGTCCTAATTGTATCGAGACCACTTTGGGTAATTCGCCGGTGATCACAACCAACTGTGGGGTGTTCGAACCGTGTGGTTTTCGGTCCGACCTTTTCTAACACATCCTTCCTCGGGGAAGTAGAGCAAAGCGGCCTCCATTGATGTAAGAAAACCTCACTGACTGTTGCAAAGGACAGTGCAGTTTCATCCACATAGACTGCATCCTATTACGGTTGTTCGTATCATCAACTCCATCGTGCCTTTTGTAGATTCCGGTTTCAGAAACATTGGTTTGTTACTCAAATAAGTGACTGAGGTTCACATGTTCTTTGTATTCGCCTTACGAACCCTGTTCCGCTGTTTTTGTCACCTCTTAGTTTGAAAACTTTCGGGCATCATGGCCAACAAGTTATCGTAGAGCAGACCATTTATACTTCGCCGATTTGTATTTTTTGGGACATAAGATCCAAGTATATTATTTGGTCTTGCAGCACCCTCATTATCTATGTACTGCCGATAGGAAACTTCAGGCGAACTTGGAAACGCAGCGGCGTTAGTTTAGCTCTTACCTTCGGCGAGATGGCTTAGTGGTTAGAGCGCGAATTTACTGGCCGGAAGGTCCGTGGTTCGAACGCGTTCCTGCCTCTTGACTTCCCCTGTCTAGACTTGAGCAACCTGTCAGTATCCCAGCCCTCGTTCTTTCGAGTGGCATGGCAGTTAGGGACCGAAACGGTGCTACAGCTGAATGATTTTTTTCTTACCTTCCAGGCTGCTTCTTTGCCAGATTGGATCCCTATAGGCGGCTTTCTTTGCGCCGTCCAGTTGCCAGTTTTCATCGGAACTCGCACCAGCCACAATGCCCGGCCTGTGACCAACCAAATTTAGCTCCGTTTCGGTGAAAGGTATAACTGACAGGGTACTAACCTCCACAAGTAAAAGTCCAACTACTGTGCTAGTCGCTGGTGATCTCGTTGCATCAGTGAGGCGTCCCAGCCCATGGGAGACGCAAATTGGAAGCCTTCCTTTTCTTGAACACATGTATTGTGGAGGAAGCCTTTTACACCGTTCTTCTGGATATTGATAACGCTGCTCAGGAGCGCTGGGTTTTGGCGCAGAGAATGCCGTTGTGCCGTCTGGTGTCTCTACATATTCAACTGTGGCACCCGACTGATCGCATAGTCATTTACGACAGAGCTTTGTTCCGTTGATGTTTCCGAAGCGTCTACATAGGTTCAGATCATGCCTTCGTTGGGTGAAATTCCCAGGGTAAACATAGGGAATAAAGTTCATGCATAGCCATTGAAAACTTCCTAATCCAGAAATTAAATGTCTCATACAGTTGTCAGTGGACTTTTAAGTGGGGAGATTGGGAGAGGAGCTATGCATTTAAGGCAATAGCTTGAATACACGAGGGCTATTGAGGGCGAGTCTGGACCATGTCTAACAATGTATTTAGCCGTTGATGTGTACCGTGTCTGGGTTTCCATCTACAGAGACGGCATGACCAGCGCATTTGAGTTTGTTGGTAATGACTTTCATATTTCGCTTCCAGGTCATTGTTTGACCTCCGCTAGCTCGTTTCCACCCTTCGCGTGGTTGTGCTAAAAGAACCCTTCGAAGAAGTCGGTCGACTAGTTTACGGAGCACGTGACCAATCTAGCGCAATCTATGTAGTGTGATCAGTTCATTTATCGTGGGTGTCATTTCGACTTACTTCAGCATTGCTGATATGATGTTCTTACCAGACTCTCGCAATACTCAGAAGAAATCAATGGTCAAACACAGAAAGACTTTTGACGTCCTCGGCGTGCATCGGCCAGTAATATGAGGTGCACCACAGTACTGTAAACTTGACCAGTGACTGAAACGCTTACGCGCGTTCATAAAGGCTGCTCTGGTCTTTCCAGTCCGGATAGAAATATTATTTTTCGCGTGCCCACCGGGACTGATACAGCTGTTCAGGTCGACAATCGGCTCATCGGCAAGCATCATTTTCGGGTTCGAGCCCACGCAGTCTTGCAGTAGCGTTTTACAATTTGGAGGAGCGGAGCTTATGCCAAACCATGATGCAGAATTATTTAGATTTTTTAATATTGTTTGCATTATGACGGCGTCAGATCCAAGACGAGAGATAAAAGCTGTCATGTGCTTACTAGATATCTGTGAGTGGACGCCCCGGGTGCACTTCAACCCCACAGGCATTGGAGGCTGATAGCAAGTCTCCCATAACGGTATTATTGACGAAGTCGAAGTGGAGAGGTGAAATAAGACAGCCCTGCATGACACCCTTGATGTGGTGAACTCAGTCGAGAGCTTCCCGTGTGGATCAAGTTGACATCTGAAAAGGAACTACTGGGCTTAGATTATACGGATAACATTGTTCTGCCATTTGGCGTACATGCGTCNGCACTTCCAAGAACTGGCAATTGCTTCTATCAGGGAGTGCGCTGTAGTACCAAAGCATCTTCCTGGGTAGGTTCCACGCAATCCCTTCATGTGGTTGGTAACGGTACATTACATGGTACATAACGGATCCCAGTGGTTGGAAAGCTGCCAGTTCCTAACCGACTTGCTCAGCTAACGCTTGTTTGTTGTTGCGTGCTAAACTTGTCTTGAGGTTTGGAAATGATGAAGAGTAATTCCATCGGTGGCCTCTTGCCTTAAGATGGTGCTTAAATGTGTTTATTTCAATAGTTTTGAAAGGTATATGCGCCTCACTCTTGGCCATTTTCTATAGGGACATAGGGCTTACGGTAAATCACCCACCTCTCCTTCCTTTTCGCGCAACTAGGGCAGTCGTGGTTGTATGGCAAATGGGCCGCAGTTTCCACTGCTGGTGCATTGTCGTTCATGATGATGATGACAGGGATTTGGCTTGCCAGACAATGTCGCCTGAATAGCCTGCTTGTTTCCGGGTCCGGTGGCATGCAGCCGCTTACCGGCTTTTTGGCAAATTGTCGAGGTTACAAAACGCCATGGTTTATTTTGAGGTCCTTCATTATCAATTAACACTTGTTATCGTCATGGCTGACAGCAAAATTAGTATGAATAGTTCCTCACTTGCCGTACAACCAAATCAGGAGTAAAACTCCGTTGTGGATTAAGAGAAGGGATATGGCCTATCACCCATCTTTCATAGAAAATGGCAGCAGGAGCCGTTGACATGGGTTTGTGCTATATACAATCAGAATTAGGGAATCTCAGGTGGGTTGCCCCATGGGACGTGGAATATATGGACGATAAGTATAAAACTCCATAACTTCGCGTCCAGTTTCTGTGAGTCTGAAATTATCCAAAACAAAACTTTGTGAACACTAACGTTTCTCGGCATCAAGTCGTCAGATTAATACACATCCCGTGGCGATGATCGAAAAGACCAGTCAGTATTCGTTTGGTGGGTTAAAACATCGGGCACCGATAGAACATTTGTAGGGTTATCTAAAGGCCTGTTAATTATGTGGGTCTGGCGGCGTCACACAACGAAGGCCAGCCAAAAAATTCTTTCGAATATTTTTTGGCAGCCACGTAGCCATACTGCAACTGCTCCAGCTGTGGCCAAGAGACACCTTTAGATCGACATTCGCAATCTACGGGACGCCCTATAGGTAACCTGAGTTGACTTGGATTTAGCATGGGGACAATCCTTTTCGTGGTAGTTGACTTCTAGGAAACACCGCGACCTGTGATTCCGGATGCTACTTCACCAAACAAATTTTCTGACCACATTGCGAGTTTGTCGACGATATCGAATAGCAGCTATGGTTCTTAGCTGTCGATCATCAAAGGCCAGGGTACGCATCAGGCACTCTACTGGCTAAGGCCACACATGCCCACCCTATCACGTGGAACACTTTTGTATGGCGTGTATCAGACGATTTTAATTCTTCTGCAACCACTGTAATCATAATTCGTCTTTTTTATTTTTCCTTGCAGGTTGTTTTGCCATCACTCAGCAGTTATTTCACATCTACCCGGTTGGCTGCAGTCGCAGAATCTGTTTCGGTGTCGTCGTGCTATGTTTGGATCATGGACACGACTAACAGATGCTCCTTTTGCTCGAGTTAATCACCAAGCTATAATTCTCAATGACTCGCTCTATGTCTTTGGAGGGTTCAGTGCACAGCGGCGGGAGTTCGATCACAGCTCGTCGCAGATAGACGTTTTCCGATGGGACATCCGTAGGCGTCTGTTAGTCTTCTAACACTCCTTTCAGATCATCAGATTTGGGTAGATCTGAAGTACCCATTACGCTTGAAAACTTGGAACTGCCTTCTGAAATCCTGGGGACCGGATCCTTTGCCTTCAGTAAGTTTGCAATCCAATGAACAGTATCCTTCGAACGGCATCACCTGCGCTTCACATGGATAAACAAAATAGAGATTCCGTTTAGGTTCTTGGTAAATTTGAGAATGTCGACCTTTTGTCCACTACGACAACAGCGGAAGCCGTGGTGTCAACCCCTTTATTCGAGATGATAACATAGGTGTATAGGCATAGAGATGCGGCTTACACAATTCTATTTGAAAGCTCAAATGGACATAAGCGTTTTTGTGCTATATTTCGCCCAACCTGATATGGCACTCAAACACGTACTGAGCATACATGCGAATGGCCTTGCGTAAAGGTAACCTCTACTTGTCTTGAGCACCTAATCTTCGCGTTTACAGTCGAAAACTCGCGCTGAGTTCATTCTTTTTTCTTACAGACGAACGATCTTAATAATCAAATTTAACCTCTTTTGATTAGGCGTTTGAACCATACTGCATACGAATAATTTTTAATGGAGAACCAACATTTCATGTTTCAGGGCAAAGGATTCCCAACCATCCAGTAGTATTGTGACTTTTCATGAAAGATTTAGATTCTCATAATATTGCTCATCTAAATTCCTAGAGAGTCCACGATGGTGTGGCCCTCCTGAAAGGCCACGAATCTAAAAGTCGGAAAATATCTCATCATCGTCAGCTGTAAATAAGAGTTTACTTACCGTACAGTGGTTATGGCTGCCACACTTTCGCTCGCCGATGATTTGGGGAGTTAAGGCAGATAGTTACACATTGGGGGCGTTGGCTGACAGAGCTGCTACGTAAACACAGGGGTATCAGATGAATGTTCGTTGGGAAGATTGGAACGGGAGTTATGTATTGAAGGCAAAGGCTTGGGTGCATGAGCGCCAGTGAGGGCGTGACTGGGTCATTTCTGACGATGTGTCCAAACATTCACGTGCCCCGTTCTGGGGCCATCCAGGGAAACGGCTATAATCGGCGCGGCTGAGTTCGCTGGTAATGGTTTCCATTGCCAGGTCATTGTTTGATCTTCACTACTTCCAACCCTTCGCGTTGCTGCGTAAAAAGGACTTTTGGAAGGAACGGAAGTCTTAAGCCGTGGCTCTCCACCGGTGGCTGATGGTCACGTTATCCAACCGGGTCCACGGCCGGTTTGCACTTGTTGATAGCCAGGTTACGCAATGCGAGCTTTTGTGCTGAAAGTTCGTACTGGCTAGAAACAGTTGATGACCAGCACACAACTGTAGAATTCGCCCCTCGTTGTCTGTGCGACGAGTATCGGCTCCGAATCGACTTGCCAAATGTAATTCTTGGGGGCACAGACAACCGACTCGGAAGGATCACAGTATCAGTGTTTCTTGCTTGACAGATGGGATCCGATGACTCCCGGCTCCTTCGCAGCGTCGGAACTGCAGTCCGTTGGGGCGTATGCTGACATTGCAAGTAGGCACCGTTTCTATGTCGAGGAGCACTGAGCTTGATTGAGCTGGAGAACCGAACGGTGCAACGACGACTGTTCGCTGAGGTTCCACTCGAGCAAAGCTCGTTAAATTTTGAGCCTGAGTGCAACTCCCACATATATTCGACGAGTCATCACCCCTGGATCACCGGACGCGGACCGGGAGCTGGGTTTGTCCTTGGCGTTGTGGGATGCTTAACCACGCTTGGATCTTGTGTGCGTGTTTAGGAGACATAGCATACATCAATTCTGAGGAAGTATAAGGTTTTGGCAAGCATTGCCCATTTGCCGATTTGACATAGAGTACGGAAGTTGAAAGATACTATGTAGAAAGGACTAAGTGGATTAAGCAAGGTGTCGTTTTGCTTATTGGTAGTCAGCAAATAGCGTAAGGCACATCTGTCAAATATCCGACAATCAAATGCCCCAGCAACGTTTGCTCGTGTAGTGGAAATGGATTGGATAGGGGAACCGATGGACAAAGAACTGTGTGGGCAGATGATACTTCTAGGTTGTTTAACTCGAGGAAGGATTTTTGGTTGAGTTGCCTCACATTGAGCCTTTGACTCAATTGTCTGACACGTGAGGAAGCGGGCATTAAGGTTTTCTTTGGGGACACTTTCCGGAGCCGATGACTTAATAGCCTGATCTGCTTGCTTGAATGTGACTGGCCTTACCTGATAGTACAGGAGTACGGTTGTTTTTCCTCTCGATGCGGCTGCACACAGTATGTCCATTTTGACCAGCTCCAAACTCTTCGGTTTTAAGGTGATTTCGACCCTGCTGAATAATCCCTCGGCGGTCATGGTCGATCGGAATGTGCTGTTTTTACTGCCAACATGTTGTAACCCATCTTTATTTGGGGGAAGGCAACATCCCTTCGTCCATAAATACCTTACGACCTTTACATCCCATCGCAGAAAGCAGTACAGCTTTACCCCCGGACAGCCTCACGGTACGATTACTCGTAGTGTGGGGTATCGCTGCTCCTGGTCTGATTGGTCACCTTTGACCTTCTTGGAACGATTGTCCCCCATGGAACGAAGTTCCATCCAGTGCAGCCCCCGAGGTCATTACGGCAATCTAGCTCGACCAACACGTCAGGTAGGCAGCTTTAGATCTTGGGTCGCAAAATGCAGAAGAACCATGCATGTTTTTCGTTTCACAGGACAATTCTGAATGGCCGGTGTTGGTGGAAATCGGTGTGGCAGTGGATTTTCAGTCAATAACAATTCTAGCAAATCAGCGGTCCGAATTTCAACCCCCCAAGTGGTGGCACCACTTGAGAGATGTGGGGCTTGTCTGAATTTTGTAACAGATATCGTCAAGCCGAACTCCCTCTTTTTCAACATTTTTGTCCCTCGTAGACAGTAGTCGTCGTTACCTACCATAGAATATTCGTACGTTATTTGCTGATTCTAATAAACGATGTTTCGAATGCAAATGGGTGTGAAGCGGGATTCCGGTGCAAGTGCCTCCTGGTAACCCGGTGGAATACATATCATGAAGTTTTCTATGGAGGAAAATGTTGGTAGCTCAGGTAGCGTAGATGGTGGTCGTTGGCTTGTTCGCTGAGCTGGGCAATTTGATTGCAAACGTTTCATCACCAATCGAGGTGACATCATCAGTGCGTTATTATGGAGCGTAGGAGTGCGTAGCGGTGGGTTGGCGGTTGTGGTTGTGCAATCAAATTGCCCAGCTCAGCGAACAAGCCAACGACCACCATATCATGAAGTGTGTGGCTGATGTGTCCATCGGTCTCACGCCGATGACCGCTACCTTGCAGTTAGATACCTGAGTATCCTAATCTTTCTTGTTTGTCAGAGGGGTAATTTCATATCACATTAGCCGTCACTTGACGACATAAGCCTGGGATTTTTGATTTGCTGCATAGGGAAGGATGAATAAGTGACACCGCCTTCATTGGTGCCGCTCGACTCCTGTGCCATTCCGATAAGTAACCACCTTTGTGTATGACCGTTTTTCAGACTTCCCTTTGCGTTACCAAAACTACTAGACTAAACTCCGTAGGATGAGATTCAGTCTCGGAGACGAAAGTTTTTTAACGAAGGACGGTGTACTTTGTTTTTATATTATTTTCATCCCAGGATGATGGATCAATTCATCCCACGCATCGCTTCGGCCACACTGTTGTCGCATGGCGTGGACGAGGTTGGCTGTTTGGCGGACGCAATCACCGGCAGTTATGTTCCAACCACATTTACATGTTCGAGCCTGGTTGCCTATCTTCATCCGAACTCGATGTAGCGACAAGTAATGAGACTCGACCTCCTGTGAGTACAACTCAAACAGAAAATTCCCCACACTGGGCTCTCATCGATGGAATCAAAGGGTCTTTGCCAACTCCTCGTGATGGGCACGCTGCTGCTGTGCTAGAAGACAGTATGTTTATCTTCGGAGGCTACGAAGACGAAGTACGTCCTTTCAACCGCGCTATTTTTGCGTGAAAGTTTTTCCGCCAGTCTTCTTCCCGGTTCCATTAGATATGGAATTAATATGGACCAAGAATTATCTGTAGACACTGCAGAATGTTTACACATATCTGGTAAACACCAACAACTCACGTGCTGCCCGCTCTTTTTTACCACTGAATTGCGTAGACTACAGGAGAAGGGGACTATTATACCTGGCGACTCTATTTATGGATGATGGCATTCGGACAAAAAGCATAAGACGTACACGTCGAGTTGTTTAGGATGTCAGAACCAGAACCAAATGACCGCTATTCCGGTAGGCTTGGAGTGTAGGGTTGTCCCGGTGTTCTTTGTTTTTTATCACTAGTAAAGACCAATAAGCACATTAACAGCATCTTTAAAGTTCTGGGTGTCGTTCACTGTGACCAACTCTCGTTCCTTTGAAACTGGACTCCATACACGGAATTCGTGTCTGTTGTTGTCGTCTGTTCTCTTCGAAATTCGGTCATTGCTACGCATATTTGAATCGTCAATGTTCAGTTTACTTCCTTTGCTGAAATGTAAATGCAATCCGATTGGCCATTTCAGAATGTGCGTTTTGCTATTCACGCTACTCGGCATTGAGAAAAAAAGCCACTCAGCTGTAACACCCTTTCGATGCCTAACTGCCATGCCACCCGAAGGAAGCACGAGGGCTGGGATACTGACATGTTGCCCAAGCCTAGACAGGGGAAAGAGGCAGAGGTCGGGTTCGAACCACGGTCAGTAATTTCGCGCTCTAACCACTTGAGCCATCTCGGCATTGAGGCTGCAGGTCGGTGCATGTCTACGGTCATTTCAACAATAATGTAGTTTCTATCCCTCTTTGTGTGGTTCTGGTGAAATGTGGGACTGACACACTCCTTCCAACCTCATTGCTCTGTTAACTGTGTTGCAAGTAAGTCGAAACAACCACCTTTGGTTTCCCCGCACCCACGGACAAATTCGGGGTCGTGAGTTCCGGACGATACGTCAGCTGGTCCCCTGGATTCATTTTACGTGTCCACATGATCTAAGGTGGATCTGATCGAATGCGGGAGTTTGCCTATCTTCCCAGTCAGTTGATGCCGTTTTCTGTGACATGTTATCTGTTGTCGACTAATGAAGGAAGAACTTGCTGTGTGACTATTTCATGAAGGGTTTCCTGTGCAGTCCACCACCCCTGTTGATGTGATTACGTTACCTCTTGTCATCAGTGGTTTTATGCGGTAACATCATCGTTCAGCTGTAGCACCCTTTCGGTGCCTAACTGCCATGCCACCAGAAGAGGGCATGATGGCTGGGATGTTGCCAGGTTGCCCAAGCCTAGACAGGGGAAGTCGGAAGGCAGAGGTCGGGTTTGAACCACGGATCTTCCGGTCAGTAATTTCGCGCTCTAACCACTTGGACCACCTCGCCCCTGGTAACATCATGACCCTAGGAGACAATTTTTTGGAGACCGGGACGGGGTGGGTTTTGAACACAGCTAAGTTGGTTATGGTCAGAATCGAACTCAACTTTAGGTCCCACACATATGTGTCGGTTTGGCAACTATATTCTATCAAGTTCTACACATTCAGCACATCTCATTTGTTATCGTATGATTTGTTATAGTCGTTGTCAGTGTATTGGTTGGGCTGGTCTTCTCTCGCTGTGGTCTCGTAACCAACGATGATGATAGCAGCATTGACGATAGCGTTAGTCACCTAGAGCACTGACTCCTTCGAAGAAGGCGGATTCTCTAAAATGTGTCTGCAGACAAAACGACGCCTGATCCATCTGATCTATTTAATTTACTCTACTAGGTCTACACTGTATCGGTGCACATTGTGGAACCTCTCTCGTGAAAGCGATAGGATTCCCGAGAATAGAATCTTGTCTTAGTTTTCCAAACAACCACGCTGGGTGACAAAGCTCCTGCAAGTCCTCTTCTAAGGCCTAGATCTGTCGATTGGTTGTGAGTGTGCGTTGTGAGTGTGCCCCGACCCCCGTTTGTTGTAACTCTTGTCGCTATGGCTCAAGTGGTTAGAGCGCGAATTTACTGACCGGAAGGTCCGTGGTTTGAAGCCGACCTCTGCCTCTCGACTTCCCTTGTCTAAGCTTGGGCAACTTGGCAGTATCCCAGCCCTCGTATTTCCTCAGGATAGCATGGCAGCTAGGTACCGGAAGGGTCTTACAGCTGAGAGATATTTTTGTCGCTCTGGATTTTTTTAAGGTAGACCTACGGGACAACTGAACATTGGATTGAGCCCGTACTGCATTCTTTTTCAGTTCATGCTGTTGGCCATCAGTAGTCCCTGTGTGGTCGATATTAACGGATGCAACACAGGTCTGTCTTCATTTAATCTCATTCTGCAGACCACACTGCTGAAAACTTAACGTGGAGGCTGAGTTTGTCCGGCACTCTGCAATATTTACACACGCTACTTTTCAGCTATCCTTTTTCCTAACTTCTTTTCTCTGTTTGCAATTCTCTGACAGTATGGCAGTTATGACAATCAGGTCTATCGCCTTGACTTTCACTATTGGTCGTGGACAAGGATACAAATCCATGCACTACCACCTGCAGTCGGACATTGTTCTACATCTTTAATGCACAGTTCATCAGACCGCGAACGACAACTTCCAAGTAGAGACGTTGAAAATCCTTCTGATTATGTGGTCTCGCAGGATCATAGCCCCTTACCACGAGACTTTGCTTGTCTAATCGCTCATCAGGGAAGACTATTTGTTTTCGGTGGCCGAAGTGAATGTTCCGATCGGAGCGGATACGATGTGTACGACTCAGCTATCTGGGAGTTGGTGCCGATATGTGTGAAGCGAGATAATTGGACCAACATGGACAGTACTCTTGATGTTCCGGATGACTTTTCTACTTCATTTTCACCCTCGGAATGTAAAAGTTGCACGACGCAACGTCTTGCTGAGGCGAGTGCGTATGGCGATCTGCTGAAAATGGCTTGGGAAGAGGAAACAGGTAACTGGGCCAGGTCAGTGTTTCATCTAAACCGCATTATTAGCACTGTATTGCACTCGGTTCATCCTGATTTGAGTTGTCATTCCTAATTGAGGGGCTTTTCTCGGCACCATAATCTCCTTCTCGTAGAAGTTTTGAAGGCACAGTTTTGCCTATTGAATTGATTTTTACAGCATTTTGATGAGCAGCGCGTCTGAACCGTTAAATAATCACCTTGATATGCACCATGGAATCGCTAACGGTGGCGTTTGCCACTGTCAATGGTAACATGGTGTTTGTGTCCGACATACCGGGAAATGTTTTTCTTCAACCCCCATGTCACGTCCCTTCGAATCGCACCTGAGTTTGCTTGATCTGTTCACTTGCCTTTTTTTTGTAGTCCGGAATCTTGGGCCGTTTCCCCACCCCGTCCCTGTTGTTTGTGGAGGCTTTTCTGTCCTGTTGACAAGGGCTCGATGGAACAGTTTCAAGAAAGGAGAAACAACCGTAGTCGACACCTCAGCTCTACCAGTGTGTCATCTTCCCGTTGGGCAACTGGAAGGGCTACCTGGGTGCGGTTACATCCTGGACACGGTCTTCAGCTTCCAGACCATTTGTTGCCACGCCTATTTGAATCTGCTGCACACCAAAGGAGTACCAAGAGTCTTTCATCCCTGTCGTCACCCTACGGTCGCAGGAGTCTTTCATCTTGTGCGTAACGATTTGAGACATTTTCTGTCAGGTTCCACGTTTGCCATTTCTTGTAGTTTTTGTTTTCAAATCGTTTTATTCGACGTCTCGTCCCCCTTTTCCGTTGAGTTAGGTGATTGATTGCTTCACACAAAGAATTGTTAGTCAGGCGAGTGAAGGAAGTAGTCTTGCATGTCAGTTGACTGGATTCCTTGGAGCACCTAGCGTATTTTCTTATCTCTGATTTTTGAGCGACCATCTCTGCTAGTTGTGAAACCTAGAATAGCAAAGTTTGTGGGCTGCCTCCGTATGTCTGTATTATCTTTTCCACGTAAATGGATGAATCACACGCGTCATCACTTAAGTTCCGGTCTACAACAACGACAGAAGGGGGCAAGATGGTCCAAGTGGTTAGAGCGCGAAATTACTGACCGTGGTTCGAACCCGACCTCTGCCTCTCGACTTCCCCTGTCTAGGCTTGGGCAATCTGGCAGTGTTCCAGCCCTCGTGCTTCCTTCTGGTGGCATGACAGCGAGGCACTGAAAGGATGCTACAGATGAACGGTTTTTTCTATAACAGAAGCGTTGCGTCCTGAATGTTTTGCTTGCTTTTGTGATCTTACGCATTATGATTTATGTTTTGCATGCATTATAGACGGATGCCATTTACACAAAGAACCATGTATTCCCTTAATTAACTCGAATAACGTTAATTTCCGCATGGAAAGTTAGGGTTTCTTTACGCTGTGAGCAGCTTTTTGTATCTTAAGACGTTCGCATCTGTCGGTCATCTAAATGTTTCACATAGTTTATTGTCCTGAGGACAACACAACAGATAAATTCAGTCGTTTTCGTTAGTCTGTATTAGCTACAGGAAACTCAACATGTGCTTGCATGTTGTCAGTGCTCACCCGCATTTTTGTGATCAAACAGGTCGGTTTTGTCGAAATACACTCATTTACAAACTAATTTGGTTTTTCGAGAGACTCACCTGGAATCCACCTGAATCTCCCGTTTGTGACGTTTCCAAGCAACCGAATGTGCTGACCAAGAGGTCTAGTAACCGTGAAAAGAGAAGAGCACTAATATCTAGGAGTTTCCTGCTCAGAATGGGTGCACAGTGTGGGGTTCTGTTAGATCAATTCAGAGGGTAACGGAAATAAATCAGGCACCACTCTTGAGTTTCAGCAACCTTATGAATAGTGCATTACGAATATACATGTATCGCGATATCTCGAATATCGCTCACCCGCATTTTTGTGTTCAAACAGGTCAGTTTCACATTTTTAACCGTTGTGTGCTATTAGAAGATTGTTGGGGGCCTAAGGTTATGACTAAATGTTTGCAATTTTCCGCGATAATATATATATCTTCCGCAGTCGTTGGCGGATGAGTTAAGACCAGTAGAAAACGGCGGGTCATTGTGCTCTACTTTTATGTGGTGTGGCATTTTCCAGTCCCGGAAAGCTTGGTTGTTTCTCTGTGTGATGTGAGAGATGAAAGAAAAAGACCTTGTTGCAGGAGCTGTTCGCTCGCTTGAAATGCCTTCCATAGTTTTCCACCTTTTTCATTATTAGTCGACAAATCACTAACCCATACGCCCCTGATGCCGGTTGTTTTGATAGTCTACACACAACAAAATCTTCCTGACTTATTGAACACCCGCCCTGTTCCAATAATGATGCAGTTACGTAATTCCAGTATTAGAGAATCCACTACGGGCTGTAGCAGGGGAGGTTATTTCCTGGATTCCCGTAATCCTGCAGAACGAGGTTTTGCTAATGGCTCCTCACTCACGGATTAGACTTCACTTTTTGCCATTTGTCAGTAGTCACATTACCTGATGTGATAAACTTCGTGATGATTTTTGAACACAGTTCCGTTCATTTGTTGTCGATATTGTTTCTATGATACTTACATTTCAGGGGCTTTCCAAGGTCAGCTGTATATTGGTTTCGGCACTGTACGTTGTCAGACCCGTGAATCATGGCAGCTACACTACCATGATATTTGGCGGTTCGACTTAGCCGACAAAACCTGGTCCGTAGTTGAGACACTGGAATGCACCGATCGAATACACCTGCCTTCTGCACGTCGACGGGCGGTGGCCAGTCTGTACATACCACGGCCATCCAGATCTATTCTTGCCGATGAATATTCCGCATTCCGTCCACAAGTCTTTCTGTTTGGTGGCACTCAGCCTCGTCTCCTGTACAAAACGGTTGCAACCGATGTTGGAAGTTTATTCCGTCGTAATGCCGGCGTACGTCAGCATACCACACGACAATTCGCAGGTAAACTAAACCAAATTGCGTTCTACATGGTAATGATACCTTCCATTCACGACAAGCATCCTAATTTCTGTTTCTGGTTTTACCATCTTCGATTCCATTTTACCCACAGCTTTTTTGATTCAGCAGAAGCGACACAAATGTTTTGAAAAACGATTCCTCAGTTTGATGTTCCACTTTCCCATATGTCACAATCACCAGAACGAGTAGACCAAGATACAGCGGATCGAACGAATTCGCGTGTTTCACCTTGCCTTGTTCGCTTTCTGCATACAGTCGGGTTAAGGACCAATAACGGACATGCTCGAGTATGGACAAACATACTTTACCCAGTGAATTCATGTTGGTGACCATCATTAGGGTCTGGAATCGGTTTGTTGCACTGTTTACTTGCACAAACAGTTCACATGGCAAAACCTCGAGCCTTGGAAAGCTTCTCTGTCAGTAAGAATAGAAGTATTGAAGAACCTATGTATCCGTCGCCGAGCTCAATATCAAGCTGTGAAAGTGCCCGCCTTGCAATGGTTAAGTCCTAACCGTGATTGCTCGAGGTGAGGCCAAACCAGTTACTGAGCGAGTGTTTGTCGTGATTCGGCGTTCACTTGCCTGATGGACGTTCCCTGGCATATTGAGCCCATGGCATTGTCAATACAACTGTGACCACCAACCTAGAACTGGACAATTGGTTCACTCTCTGTGTGCCAGATAAAAAGTTCTTACCACCCAACTATCTGCTGAGCATAACCGTTCACAAGTTTAATGATGGTCGTGTCGCATAGGACAACAAAGTGGCCAAACAGGGATAATTTGGAAGAAAGTGCGGAATTTCTGAAGTTTCACTGTATTTCTGTCCTGGAATTTTAGTTCGGTTTTTATTAGGAGAAACGGATCACAGTGGTTTATGCACTTCTTCCGTGACCCGTACACTTTATCGTGCCCTTCACGTACTGTGTACTGAAGGTGCCCTTCGGTTCCCAACTTGGGAGAGGTATTAAGCCTACTTTGATCGAGTCTACTGTTGGTTTCTTCACCCCACTTTACTAGATCACTTACTGATTACATCGTCTTCCCTTTCTACCAGTAAGCCAGAATAAATCCCGGTATGGCATTCGTTGCAGTGGATCTGTGGTACACGGCCTAGCCACCCAAAACGGTATTGAAATTAAATCTAATGAGTAGGTCTGCTGAGTTCGTTCTGATGAGTAGGCCTCCTAACTAAGAGGATGTAGTTGTCCACTTGATGTTCCCTCGAACTGTCCGAATACGATGTAAGCATTCGGTGTCGACCACTTCAATCTCCGGAGCAGCCAATTTCCGCAACCATTTAGCAGTACTGCTCTTACGGTAGTGCTATCGACGCATTCATCCATGGTGAGCCGTATCTACCGTCACAGGATTTCTTTGCTCCGCAGGCGACCACCTAGCCATTGCATTTCGAGACTTCGTGTTTTGTTCTGCAAGAGGTTTGCCAGGAGTGACATCGCTACCAAGGTAGACAGAGTTTCACAGTCTTCATATCGTAAAACATTGTGCAACACACTACGTAATGATCACACTCGATCCATAAGCCAATTAGAAAACACTGTACTGCCCGATTTACCACATGACTGTCATTTAAGTTCATGGGGGGAGTTTGGATACATCCTAATGGAGGAAATCACCAATGGCAAAACTGAAGAGCAATGGGGAAATTGGGCATCTTTTGCGCATGCCACTGATGAATTCATATGTAGGATAAGTCTACACATGCCCTAACTTTTCAGAGCTTTGCTGTAGAGGGCTATCAGGACTATCCTATGTTTATCAGATACTGCATCCATCCGCGAACACTTCTCCAAAGCTTCTTCCTTGTTGAGGTCAAACTTAGCACGCGTGTTCGGGGATAGTATTACTGTTAAGGCTTTAGAAGATTCCTCAGTATTTCTAAACCGCATTCTCTACAGCCCAGAAGCCGGCCCACTACATCGCTTCAGGTGTCTACACTTCCAGACACTCATTCAAGCAATCTGGATAAAAGCTGACAACAAAAACGTCATTGACAATGATTGGTGGCCATATCTTGCATCGTCTTCAGCCAGGTGTAGTGGGAATCACCTGGTCCCCGCCTTGGAAGGCGTATCGCACCGACAGCGTCCAGACTTTTCGTAATCTCTTCCATACCCTACTACCAGAGGTTTACACTCTCCTTGCTTGCTTCACTCTGAATCGGGAACGGAATGCAGCACGCTCTTCGGCAAGCGGGCATTTGGCATGCACAGTACATGGCCTAACCAATGCAGCTTCTGTTGGTTTACACATTCTTCAATGGAAGTCCCCGTTGCACAACCGAAAACTCGTTTTCTAGTTTTCTGGCTACGGATTCGCCCGGTATCAACCTACACGAGCTGTGGTTCTGAAACAACGGTTTCCGAACACCTGAAGATATCTCAGTTCTGCTGCTCGAACAGGCTGTTTTAAAGCCATACAACATAACACCTCTTTACTGTAGCCTGATAGGCACGTCCATTAGGATTTAGGGATATGCGATTTTGACGCCACACATGTCCTAAGCATGATCTGACCCTCACAAACTCATGCATTGACCTCTATTGTCATACTACTATCGGAAGTGATATAACTTCTAAGCCAAGTAAAACGCTCCACAACTTGGATTGCAAGTGGCTGCATGTCCAGGAGCAGGACCTTACACTTTGGTGTGCAAACACCATGCTAAAGAACGGAGTGACTGTGATCAGTTCATCCAAGGATATCTTCACCTCTTCATCTTTGAAGTCGTGAACGATGTCCTCTGCCTATTCCAGATCGACAAGGTTTTCGTCACGGGCTATTTGAACACCAGGGCTTTGAATAGCTCCCAGCGTTCATCTCATTATTTCGCCGATCACGAAATTAAGTGGAAATTAAGAGACTTGGCACTCCTGATGGATACCACTTTGTGGACAGAAGCTTTTGGGGAGCTCTCCTTAAGCCCTTACACGCCCAGAGGTCTGGGTTTACGAAGAACGTTTAGTGTTCACAAACTTTCAGGGCATTCGTTCATGGGCAAGCGTGTCAAGGAGAACAGATTGGCTGCTCCTTGTAAGTCCAGGGATGGTAAAATTGTGGGCCTTTTTTGACGTTGTTCTAGCACCTGACGGAGTATGAAGATCTGATGAACACAACGCCTACCAGGCTGGAATCCTGCTTACTCCTCTCAAGTCAGCGTTTCACGAGCCGACAGCCTCGGTACGACGGGGACGAAGCTGTGATTACCGCATTCACTATGAGCCCTTTTTTCCAAAATAGATTGGCACTATCACCGAATCTCATGAGTTCTTCTGAGACACTCTCTTCACAAACAGAGGCAAACAGATCAGACAACTACTGACCGAGGATTTCACCCCTATTTCTGAACAGTGCAGATGGGAGATCATCCAGACCAGGAGCCCGGTGACACTTGAGAGGATATATACAGTCGTATATCTCCGAGTTCTAAGAGGGTTCTAGGCTCATCGTCCAGGGTTCTTCTTCACCTATAGGATTTAAATGGGTGGCCACGATAGTTGCTCGGAGCATTCCGCCTAGCGGTCAAAGCATTCTCCTTCGTTCAAGGTGATCGCGCCAGTTTGATCCCTGACGGCTTCGCTCACCGGCGGTTTTCAGGGCCCGATCGCATGCATCAACTGAAATAATCCCCTGACGTTCCCGACTCTTTGGGTTTTTTCCATTTCCTTATTCTTCCATGTCCAGTTTCCGGCCACGTTCTCTGAGATAATAAAATATCCACTGAAAGAGGTAGATTCGCATGCCACAGGTATCTTGTCGAGAGGAGTATTAGCACATACAGTCACATTTTTGAGGCATTTTCGAATCGATATGTTTAATGACTCACAAATTCAACCCACGTTTTGTAATTATATGACCATTTCAAGCCAACAAACGGGTCATTTCCAATGATACCCGTGCTTTGAGAATCAAGCAAAGTCTTCCACGTTGTTACTGCGTTAAAACAATTATAACTTCCTCAAAAAGTTCACATTAGAGCATGAGTTTCGTATTCTGGCTTGCTTAGGGATCTTAGTTGCATACGTTTTCGGCAAAAATTGCCGCCTGACTCTGAGCATTCCAGCCACACAAGGTTTCCAATTGTGACTCCTCAGGTGGACAATAGGTGGTCGGTCACATTTCCCTTTAGGTAATAGTTTGATCATGATCATGATCATGCTGCCGCATCAGGATTCAGTCCGCGCGGCCTCCCAATAGACTTGTCACTACTCGAGGCAAAGCTTGTCTGTGGTTGTATCAGCTCTGACCCAAATATGTATGGTGGATTTAACACAAGAATCTCAAAAACCTGAATAACTTTTTCCAGCTTACGTTACTTGTGAGGACAAAAACTTAAATCATTTGGTTTCAAGTGTCGCGCAACAGTGCGGGGTCTGTTTATGTGGGGTCGCTAGGTAAAGTGTCTGAACGGGGAAAATTCGAGCCATCTTTAGGCCTTTGATCACCAATATCCTGGAATTTTTGCTGATGTTGGATGACACCGATGGATTGGTAACCAGTTGGTTAAAAGGCTGGCATTGTGCCGTGTGGATTCTGTTTGTGCTGCCAACACCTCTCGGCTCTCCCCGCTGTTGTTGCTGCTGATGTTCATGGTGACGATGATGGTGTTAACGCTTGGACGAGGGACCTTGTGAGTAGTTTCCTTTGTGAAAATATACTTCGACATCTCGAATATCGTAGCAACTGAAACGTGAGGCGGCTTTTCTGCTGCACGAGGTATTCAGTTAATTTCCCTTGAAAACCGAATTGATATACACATGAGTGTATTTGTCGAGGCCTGCTATTCGATTGGAACGGCCGATGCACGTTATTCTTCGTATTACATTTTCCGGTATTTGCATTTTGACTGCACGAAGCGAAGTGAATTCGTGATTAATGAGAGCTTTGTTGATTTCGCTAGGATATGCCAAAACCGTCTACGAATTCAAGGCATTTCAACAAATTACACCTAGATTGTCTGAATGACACTGCTTTGTTGGGGAAAATCAATCGCCAGGTAATTTCGAGTGTGACGTCGACGCATCATACAGAAGCTAAGGCGGTGTCCAAGGGATAAGGGGAACAGCCGGCATAAAAGTAACCGAAACCACTAGACAATGCCTTAAAAATTGGTCAGTGTGATGTTTTTTGCCCCGAGCAGCTGTTTTCCAAATCACCCATAGAGACAAAACTGGTCGGACGTCCATGTTTGACTTTAATTGCCTGCTCGTGTGTTGTATTACGCCGCATTTTTGTCTGCATTCTCAGTTTCAGAACCGATTAGTCAAAACCGCATGTTACATCTTGTTGATGGTGACACAGTCTCGTTGTCCATGTATCCCTCGGGCGTTCCAAAGACGTCTGTTGGTTCCAACGACCATATCTCTTGTCCGATCGTGATCCTCGTGGTTGGTTATCCACGTCCTCAAACTTCTGAATACTCGGACACGCTGTTTCATCTCTTCTTAGTCCTTCCGTCCACATCTGCTTCCATTATGGCCAACTCATCCACTCTAGGCTGCAACTACCCTGCCACATCATTGATCATTTGCGTGATAGGTTGGTCGGATTTGACTGTCTTATTCTCCCGAACAAATGTTGAACCTACCCCCACCGTATTCGACTCCCATGGCCTCCTAGATCGGTTGTTATGCAATGCGGACACCGATTCCGGAATAGATCGGGTCCAGATCTATAATGCGCTTCGTTGTTCTTGGCTGACTTTTGAAAAATGTTCCATGCAAACTTCTCCCGAAAGGAATACGGACGATGGACATCGTCTGCGAATGTTGGTCATTCGGTCACCGGAGACGTCGGCCACACTTGTGTTAGAAGCGGATCCACAAACAAGGTAAGGATTGACTTCGGTGCTTTATCTTAGCAATTGTGAGTTGCGTTAGTGCTGGTTGATGTGTCCTTGCCTACTTTTGCCGTCAACACAAACTGCTTTGTCCTTTCGTAACTCATTACAAGGTTGCTGACGGACCACCGACAGTTTCGCCCTTCTTAGAACTGATCATTTAAGCACCGACCTTGTGGTCTACTTATATCCAGAGTTGGACGCCATTGGCGAGCTATACCCATTTACAAATTACGTGATTGTTAACGAGGGACTCAACTGAATCTCTCGCTTAGGTTGTTATTCCACTGAAAGTGATTCACTAAGACCGCCTCATATCTCAGTACTTGTCGAGCTTTGAAGTTATAGGATGAAAAATATAATAAACGAGAATTGTATTCGAGTTTTCCGTTAACACCTGACTGTTACTCTTACCTTTTGGGCAAGAACGATAACTGGTTACGTTTCTCGGCGTTTCGGGTGTCGTAAACCTCGAGACAAAAATCCGTGTACAGCTTCATGCCTTTCAAATGCTTACGTTTTTGTTCCTTGGGACATTAAACGAAGTCGATCTGTGATTGTATTTTTTGTCTTTCCCGTATTCGAATTCCGGCTACATTCGGTCGGTTCCTTATTGAACCTATGACATTTCGCGTAATTCACGTGATCTTCCCAAATCTGGGGAAGCGAACATGGGGATAATGAGAACAGCGAATTTGTTTCCTTCTACAAGAGGTTCACACTTGTTCTTAGCGAAGTAACGAGTATGCTATCCAAATTCCCATTGGTGATATGGACTTTTTGTTTCCTATGTTCGCGTCATGTTCGCTGGTCTTGCTATATCTTGTTGTTCTGTTATCCTAACCACTCTATACTTGTTGGGATTCATTAACAGCATGGATCTCATGAAACTCCAAGAAGTCTCGAACCCGCGACCTCCCGGCTAGTAGTTTGAACACTGTCGTTCGGCCAGGGGTGGCTGGTCAGTCGTGTGATTAACTTGCACTTGAATAGGAGTGCGCGCTAATCGGGGGGATTACGAGGCAGTGAAAGGAGCTTGTAAAGCCATTTAGTTCACTGCACTGATTTTGAGGGTTGCTGGCGCTTCATATTTGGATGTTTTCTCCAGAAACAAGGTCTTACCATAAGTCATTTCTTTTCAAACTGTGCTTTTCGTGGTGATCAAACCGTTCTTTTACCGTTTTTGTTCAAAAATTAAGGTTAAGAATGATGTATTTGAAGCAGGACCTCTAAGCGATTGAAAACCTGCGGTGATCTAACTACTTAACGCAATAAGCGATTTCAACTGTCATCGTTATGGGCGCTAAAGTACATTGATTACTGGTGTAACGGTGGATACTGGTGATAAAGCATGCGAGTAATCTATGGTTGGTGTCCAGGCTCCGCCCCTGCATCTGATGGAAGGTGGTGTATTACGGAACCGCTTTGCAATAGTCAATCAATATCCAGGATGGTTCCAGCGGACGCGTGATAATGTTCAGTTTTTTTTGAAAAAAACTATGTGCATATGGGATGTTCGCTTTCCTGTCTAGTGACTTGTAACTGCTTAGCTCCTGTTTGCTGATAAATGACTTCACAGCGAAGGGCTTTTCTCATTTCGCTGGTAGTCATTACATTGCAAGACACGCTAGCTTATACGCAGGTGGGGGTCGTGTGACCTGTCTATATGGCTATAAAGGTGCTCGCTGAGTTTTTTTGAAAAATGTGCATATGGGATGTTCGCTTTCCTGTCTAGTGACTTGTAACTGCTTAGCTCCTGTTTGCTGATAAATGACTTCACAGCGAAGGGCTTTTCTCATTTCGCTGGTAGTCATTACATTGCAAGACACGCTAGCTTATACGCAGGTGGGGGTCGTGTGACCTGTCTATATGGCTATAAAGGTGCTCGCTGAGTTTCCAACCCAATCACAGTGATCCTGGACACGGTGCAAGCGAACCCACTGATTTCATCATCATCATTATCATTATTCAGGAAGCCCACCACTTTTAAATATAACTCTACGTCTATCAAGCGTTGTCCTTATGGGGTGGGGTTTGTACGGCCTGTGTGACTGCCAAAGTCAAATGACTGAAGCTTGGAAGTTGTCTCAGGTTAGGGGAAACAGTGGCCGGACATTGCCCTGTAGCTGTGCAACAGCAAAATGACTTCCAGTCATTTGTCACCAGCTTGTTTTTGGGGGCCAGCACACAATGGTTGACTTGCCTTATCGCTGACTTATCTAGAAGTGTTTGGATTTTCATCTTCTGACACAACCAATGTTGCGCGTTTCCCTCAAGCCCCGGCAATGCCATAACACACTAAGCGCTCCTTTGTGATTTCCTTCATTGCGGCGTCATTAGAACGTAGCATTTTGAGTTGTCATGAGTCGCTGTTATAGCAAGAACCGAGGTTCTCACGAGTGTCTACCAGACACCTTTATCTTGCTGTTCATTCAAGTGTTGGAGAAGTTTAGTCGATTTCACATCTGGTTGCGCCAAGAAATAAGAGAATGGGATCCACCACTATAACCTATACACCAAGCGCGCACAAATCTGCTTAGGTTGTCGATTGGTATTGTTTTACCGGCGTATCTGGAAACGAAGATCAACACGATTAAAAGAATTGTAGAGACCATTTACCATAAACAGGAGACTAGAGGGCCGATGCTGCTCACCAATCACTGAAAGGTGATCACCTAAAGAAATAGATTCGATGTAGGCACAGTAAAATCCGGTGTTATTACAGTGCTATAATCGAGTGGTTCGCTGCGTTGCTTTAGTTCACCTTAAATTTTCACTATTATCGAGGTATCCAAGCGAACACCGTGCAAGACTGATCAATATGTTGATCAAGCCATTTGTAACTTCACATGCTGAATAGCAATAAGTGGCTGATAAACTGTTCGCATGGAGTTGTATCGACTTTTCATGTCCATCCTATGAACGATACTGCCCTAGAACAGAAAGATCGCGACTTCACTGGCCGCTCTCATGGGTGACCACCGTAACTAAAAGGGGTATTTTTAGAGGCGAACAGGTTACTGATATTTTGCAAGTAGCGAGACGGGGGGTTTAATTTCCGATTTCGCCCAAAGGAGATGAAAACATGTAGTCGCTGTTCACGGCGATTAGGAGGTATCAGCAATCTGAACCCAGCACAGTAAAGTTCTTGAAAGCTCTTCAACAGTTCACCATTTGGGATTCTTGTCGAATATTGTCCCATTGGAAACATTAGGAGGCCTTTGAGCAACACATTCGAGGATTAGCATAAACGTGAAATTCAGCCGATATCTATTTGAGTGAATATCCTCCGTTAGCACTTAGTTCACTTGCATGCAGTGTGTTCAAGTAAAGAAGAAGATTGATGGAAACTGGGAACTGCGTATATATGATGAGCACCAAGCGGGGTGTAAAAGGTAGCGGGCTATCTGGGAGTAACTCTGGGTCAAGAAAAATACCTCGACACCTTGAATACCATTCTAACTGTGATATGCGGCGGTCTTTTTGCGGTATATTCGGTTGAGTTTCCAGTTAACACTGAGTTAATTTGCATATATTGGTAGGCGTCAGTGTAAGGGAATGTTCATATGGGAATTCACTCTTACGAAAACTCCATTCGTATTTCGAAATGATAATACTTCTGTTGGGTCCTGTCTTCATCATTTTCTTTCAAGGGGTATCGTGTTTCCCTATGCATTTTAATACCACTGTATTAGCTTCGTCTAATCTTTACTCCTCTCCAGACGAACTGCATCAAGTTCAAGAGGTGATTCCTGCCTGTTGTTGCGTCAGTCCTACAAACTTTACATCAGTGGTCTGGTTTACCCTGACTTGTCAGACTGCGTCCGAACCTCCGAGTGGTGCATGATAGCCCCATGGGTTACCTCGGTGCTAGTGAGTTCTGTCAGTCTGCTCATACAGTCCATGGACCAGATAGTAAACCTTGGAGGTGATTTGTCGTCCTATGAGCCACTGATTTCCAAACGATCGTTGCTCTCTGTCACCGGTCATTTCGATGCCCAGCTCTGGATTGATTCAGCTCAGTTGACACTTCCAACCCCGCCGTCGTCCATTCGCTCATTCCCAATAGTGGTCCCACAAGAGCTAGACAAAGAACCACCATCAATGGCACTTTTCCTGCAGCGGGTGTTGCCACAGCTGCGCGATGTATTGGAGTCAGGTTTCTCTGTTGTTTCTCCAATTTCTTTCCCACGGTCCACACAGCCCCCATCTTTGGGAACCGAACAACTGGATAGCCAGGCTCTGAGGAAAGCTCGGAGGCCCAGTCTTCACGGTACGTCTTTTTCATGTGGTTTGTTTTTTGCTGGTATGTTGTACTCTTCGAGTTACTTAATAATTTCATCCTCCCATCCAAAGTTTTCCCATTACGAGTACCATCTTTTTCTGAATGCGGTGTATTGGTGACGAACCAACTGCAGTGATTTTCAAACTGTAAATATTTAATGACCGTTAACCAAGTCAGGCGATAGTTTACTAAGTGGATTAATCTTTAGTATCATCTGTCACATTCGAGAACTGTAGTCTGCTGCCTAGGTTAGTTCCGTAGTAGGCTAAATTCTGTATCTAACAACACCAATGCAAGGTAGTTAACACTGTTCTTCATCTAGGCTTGTTGTCTGTGGCCGAGTCATTGGCCAGAAAAATGCGCCGAGGTGGGTGGACTGGATGTTTGCCCCTTTTTGCATGGATGGATCGTTTGGCGTGTTTGAACCTGCAAGCCAATATGTGCCTTTCTTTCAGAGGGCCTTGTCAAATGGCGTTATACAACTGACATATGCTTCCGCCAAATCGACAACCTCGGTCCATCGCAATGAGCTGTCAAGTTTAATTTCATTCTACTGAATATTCTATCCAACCGATTAATGGTCACTGCGTTCCCTATCCACGGATGGAAAGCTAGTGTTTCGGCATGAATGGGGCAAGGAAGATACTTCATAGAAGTTTCTTATTTTGAATTACAACAACAGAACCCTATATCAAGGTCTTATCGGGTTTTAGTAAACAGCTGGTCATGAAGGGTCTCTGATACGGAACACCTGGTAATACTGGAAACCTCCGGTCAGCGGAGCCAAGTATTTGAGTCCAACTTGTACCAATGGATGAGACTTTCACGGTCAAAAGCATACGGTTGTTCGGCGCGGCAAACAAGTTGACTAGTCGATTAGGGCTATAGTGATACGTTAGTCAACCGATTCAACGTGGGTGACTCGTCGTATAAACAAGCTCACTGAGACGAAATTCCATGTCACGATATCCGTGACTTGGTTCACAGAAAGACAGCCGGGCCACATGACACACTATTCGGCACTGTGACAGCTTGTTGCTGTTCGGATGTGTATAGATGAAGCAACGACTAATGAAAGCAAAGGTGGCGCACTGATCAGGGTGGTCCAGCGTGATTCCTTGTAAGGCAGTGACATGGCAGTGCACGGTAGGTAGTATCTTCCGACTGGATGCTGCAAACCTTTGGTACCAACGTGTAAAATTTATCCTACCATCCATTGTACGTCCACGTAGTTGCAGGACCTATTTGGTTGACAGCACTCAACATCCTTAATCCAGATGAGGAGGAGGTGAAGTCGTACTGTCCTCTGCGATAGGAGTGTGAAGGCAGCAAGTTGTTTCCCCCAGGCGACCAGCATGTCCATTTATGGAAGCGGCGATGCTGTGTTCCCTCGAAGAAGAACGGGTTACAGAAGGTCGGCCCAACGGTTGATCGTGGCCACCGGTGCACCATTCCAATCGGTCAAAATACTTTTAAACCCAGAGAGTCTGGTGCTGCTCAAAATGAATCTGCTATGTGCAGCCGCATCGAAAATCAAACAGTAACGTCTTACTCTCCGTGCCCTCAGCTAAGGCCAGCCCCCCCAGGCGGGCAGGTCAAACTATTGAGTCATTAGCTCTGAGCAGAGTCTCCACAGGAAACCCTACTACCCGCTCCCTTATGTGTCAGACTTTTGAGTTAAAGGCTCAAGATGAAGCAACTCAACTAAACCTCCATCAGACTGGGCAACCTGGAAGCATCATTTGTCTAAATTGTTCTTTGTCCACCAATGTCTCTCCTCTCAACCACGCAAGCGTGGTTAGGCATCCCACAACGCCAAGGACAAACCCAGCTCCACGGTCCGTGTCCGGTGATCCAGAGGTTAAGACTCGTGGAATGTATGATGTGGGAGTTTCACTCAGGCTCAGAGCTTAACGAGCTTCGCTGGATTGAAATCCCAGCGAACAGTCGTTGTTGCGCTGTTCGGCTCTCCAGCTCAATCGAGCTCAATGCCCCTCGACATAGAAACGGTGCCTACTTGTCATGTCAGCATACGCCCCGACGGACGGTAGTTCCGACGCTGCGAAGGAGTCAGAGTGAACATTCATCTGACATCCCTGTGGTTACGCAGCAGTTCTGTCAGCTGACGCATCCAGTGTGTAGCTATCTGCCTTGGCTCCCCAAATCATTGGCGAAGGAGAGTATGACAGCTATAACCACTGTACGGCGAGCACCTGGTCTTTACAACTGAGATAGAATGAGATAATGGAATAATTAAATCATGCAGCAGATGAGTTATTAAACCAAAGCTCTCGTGCTAACTGCGCAGATTACCGATTCTCATGGGGTCAGGAACTACAATTAATCGTTGAGCAATCACTTGCTCTTCGTAGCTACCCCATATTTACTGTTCTGTTTATTGCTGAAGGGTCATAAGCTTCTGGAATGATCGAATAAATTGTATGCTCTTTCAGCAGTATACTTGCCCCCTGTACTCTGAAAAGCCCCAGGGCATACCCGATCACATTGCATTGCTTGCACCTACCACAAGACTTACATTATCCATATGTCTTTTCATCCGCAGAAGTCGTGATCAATCTGCCGTCTACCTCCCTCGGTCAGCGCGAACCGATCAGTGCGGACGGTTGCCCATACTCCCGTTTTATGTGTTCATTTCTCAACCAAAGCCATCAGCAGATTCACGCGAACGATATGGACGACCACTCAGATGACTCAGTGGACAATCCACCCGATTCTATTCTCCTTTCCAACGAGAGCGACTCGGATTCTGAGAACGATCTCTCATGTGAATCTGTTATGATCGAAACGGTTGGATCTCTGGTGAAAGGAAAAGAAAGTGCGTTCATCTAGTTCTTAAGCAGTTGCTTCTTGTACTTAGCTTCGTATGCTGCTACTCCCTTCTGTCACTTGTCAGAATATTGATACTCACACACAAAGTCTTCTGCAATGCTGTTGTACTATTCTCATGTTTACTGCACCCTATCCAACGTATGCCACTTCTAGTAACATGAACCTGTCATGTTTTGGCAAAGGTTGGGACTGTTAATGGATGGATATTTTGGACAGTGGCTTTCACTTTTGGTGAAACCCAGGCCTTCTGTATGACCTTGCACGTAACATTGTGGAGAAGTCTGAAACTCTGAACAAGTCAGCGAGAGTCCAGACAGTTTTGTCACAGAATGCGGGAACGGACGCCTTCACAGATCATGGAGTAACAAACCACGTTTTTGGTTATTTTTGGACATGATGGAACCTTCGTTTTGGGTTTCACGGGAGACTCACGTGAATCCCAACTGGAACTCTCGTTTATGATCTCTTCTTCAGTTGAGGCCGCCTCATGTTTCAGTTTGAGATATTGCAAAGCACCGTGTAGGCGTAGTATACCACTCATAAGGTTGCTGAAAACTAGTGAGTAGTGCATTATGCCTACACAGTGTATTGCGATACTAGCATATCGTATCAACTGGAACGTGAGGCAGCCTGGTGCAGCGGGTTCAACTGAAGAACAATGTCAAAAGCGAGAGATTCAGCTGGGTTCCAGACGAGTCTCCCGTCAAAACCGATTTGATGTGCAAATGATTATATTTCGCTAATTTTGTGCGACTTGGGTTCAGGGAGAACATAAGATTGAGGGAAAATCGTCCACCTAATGAGTCCCAAGAAAGGTGAAACCGGTTTCCTCCTGTCCAAGATTTAGATGGGTCTCAATTACATTTGCCACGTTCTTTATTCCATCTTTTAACAAGGGTTTATTTGAAATCGAATTCAGCTTGGTAGGCGTTCCAGAAAGACTACTTGGTTTATCACTGCAGCTATATGTTCGGATATCCTGCTCTATCCATTTGTGATGTTCAGTTTCTCGTTCATTTTGAATTTGCAAAGTCTGGCTTACAGTTTCTTTTCGCCTGCCTTGTTCTTAGAATTGTTCGAGTTAGCCGACTTTTATGTAATGCGGCTAAATACAACTTTGTACGACCTATGTCTGCGACGTATGCGCTCTCTGGACCGGAGTACAATACCCATGCTTTCCGAACTACCCAGGAAGATCATGTATGTGCTTTGAAAGATATTTCTGCACTGTGGTTGTTGAAAATTTATTGGCATTTTTTCCATACTGCTTTTGCTGCACAATCATCCCCATCTAATCAGGTAACATATGTGACTGATAATTTTTGTGGGGTACCGGTTTTCTTTTGAAGGGGAGGTTCTACCTGAGGTAAATTCCTGTTTGTTCTACTTTTGGGGATACAAAATGGTCTGATTTCAAGAACCATCCTCCACACCCAGATTTAATGCCGCGTGGGACGGTGAAATGTCGTTAATTTAGGCGCAGCATTGTGCCACACATCTTTGGCAGTTTTCCTTTATCATCGAGGATGGCGAGTTTTCTCATGAACGCCAGTCAAACTTCAAGGTTTTAACGGTTTTATTGGAATTTTTTGGCGTCATATGTGAGAAATGTTCTTTTTCATAGTTTTCCCACTTAACCAGCAGTCTGTCATCGACATATCGACACATCGGGATTCGTCGATGCTTTTCCATTGTATCCATGTTCATAACTTCTTTTTAGGCTATTTGTCACTTAAATCCACTTCCTTCGATCACATATAAAGTTGACTTCATAGTGATGGTCCGTGGACCCTATGAAAACCCTTTTTAATGTCCGTTTACTCGCTCGAATTTTCCCATCGTAACGAGGCAATCGGTCACTGGTTCCAGTCGTGGAACTGAAGCACGCTTAGGTACAGTCGGTGTAAGCGTGTTATCTATGTGTCATCTTGTCAGTACTAATCGAAAATCGACTTAAGTTACCGAACTGTGTTCATCCAGATAAAGGAAGTTGTACCAGTGCTGATCTCCTTGATATGGAAAACGTGATACTCTGTTTTATGAGCGAGCTGAGAAAAATTGCAGCGATGGATTCTGATAACAAACTGTTGTCTTTACACTAGTTGGTGCTCTGTAAATTAATTTTTCTATCGGGGAATTTGTATGTCTTGCTTCAGATATGGAGAATCTGCCCTTAGATTCGATACTGGGTTTCGACCTACCATGGATTTGTTATGCTACATCACCATCGGTTATAATCAGTTTTTTTAGATAGACTAAACACGGTGTCATGAAGCTGATGTGCTGTATAGCGACTCGACCTTTTGCGGGAATAGTTACAGTGTAAATTCCAGGTGACTTCAATCCAAGTGGAGTGGTTTTTGCTCATTCCCTAACGCCGAGAAATGCCTCTATTTAGTCTAATCTCAGTTCTCAATTTACCGCCACATACATCCTTTGTTGCTGACTTGTTATCCGCCGACCGCTTGGTTCCGTTAATCAGTGTGGAGGTTTGGGCCAGGCAAGGGCTTACTTGTAGAATTACCGGGTTATGAACTTCCTGGTGCTTTTGGGAGGCTATGTAAAACAGAATCCATTCCTCTTCTGCAGAACTAGAGAAATCTGCTCCACTATCGTGTAACTGTCTCAATTTTGACACACGCTCATAATCACCACTCATAACGCACGTCGTAAGTTGAATTCCATCCGTTCTGTCAACGCAACAGTTTTCCCACTTTTTCCTACGCTAGTTTTACTCTTTATTGGTAAACGCAACTGGAGACCCAGTAATTCGTAACTGTTTTAAGCCTCCTTTGGCTTGGGGTATTTGACAGAGCAGTCGAATACACTGTATATCCGTTATGTTATCGCTCTTCATAGTGGCATCATCGAATGTTGTCTGTGAGCTTCTTCGGTTGATTTTCACGTTGCATTCGTCCTCAGACGGTTGTTCTCTCGATTTACTTAATTCGGCTGCCGGTCACGTGACTCACTGTACGTACTTATGAATGTATCTGTGCCCAAGTAACAAGGCGCTCAGTACTCGCACAGTGCAATTGAATTTTCGAAAGATATGACGGGCAATCGGGCAATTGAATTGTGAGTACCAGTCCAAACTTTTAGGCCCCATTTAGGCATCCCGGGTCTCAGCGATGCTGGGAAATTATCCCACGAGACTTTTCAGCCAGAGGCACGGTTGCTCCACTGAACACTGAAATTAGGTGAGCTGCAAAAACATGAAGGAGATTGAAGCGGTTTTTTGTTTGAGCACATACACAACAAACTTTGGCGTACAAAGTTCTACTCCACTCGTGAAGCTTTTACAGCTAAGAGCATTGTGCGGATATTGGGCAACAAGCAACAATATCTGCGTTAGTGATCTCGTCGCTGGATTTCTTCCAGCACTCGCACATTTTTGTCCTCGACGCTCGTCTGTTCAGGACTGTTGTTTGACCCTGGCTAATCTAAGTGCGACGGGCTGGTGCAGATTGATGAGTTAACATTCTGGCGTGATTTTCTGAAGTCCAAGAGGGAACGTATTAGACTTATAAGCTACGGTCACTTTTTGGTCAGTGTTAATGTGACGGGTCAATAAGTACATCGCTACAGTTACAGGACAGACCTGAATCTACCGTAGTCTACAGCCATTCGTGGTACATGTGAACACAAATGTGCAGATACTTGGCTGGAGCCATAATAGCTTACACCCGGACGGATTTTGTCGTACAAACCTACACTATCCGACGACATTGTGATGAAATGAATGGCCTTGAAGGTCTTCAACATTTTGCGTCACTAGTTTGGATGCAGTAGAAGTCCATTGAAATCAAATCTGTCGAAAATTTGGTGTTATATATTCTGGGAACCTCATCGGTTTCGAGTTAGTCTGCGGTTAGAAACAAGAATATAATAATGCAACAGTTGTCTAGAGATCATGAATTCAGCACCACGGAGAGCACCACAACCTAATCGAAAGGAAATTACATCAGTTCATAAACTAAACCCAGATAAACGCCAGTGCTGGGCTATTGTAGAAAATAGTAGTCCATGAGCTACTTATTGAAAATTCCTAGATGAAACTGTGCAACGGGGTACTTAAGTAATTGGTTACATAAAATTTGCCGAAAAGATCCGTATGACGCCTCGTGTAGGCTAGAATTTGTCATAACATTGTGGAAGCTTATCCTCACATTTTTGTAAGAAACGGGGAGTGTCGTTTCGTCGCAAATGAACTTTGAACCATAAGTAACTGAACATTCAGTTGGTTTTCAGTGATGTGTAATGTATCCTCGTTTGTTTCCAGTGCAGCCTCCTATATGCGCCCTTTTGAGTGAAGGTTCTCTGAATGAAGACCCCCCTCAACTTATCGGGATTGCATCTTGTTGTTGGTCTGTTCGCCGAGCTTGGCAGTTGGATTGCAAACGTTTCATCACCAATCGAGGTGACATCGTCAGTGCAGGGTTGAGTGGGTCACTGACGATGTCACCTCGATTGGTGATGAAACGTTTGCAATCCAACTGCCAAGCTCGGCGAACAGACCAACAACAAGATGCAATCCCGATAGGATTGCATCTTTATTGAGCAGACTTTCCTGGATCATTCTCTGATCAATACTGCAATTCATGCGTAGAGTCATTATGCATTGTAGAAATACAATGACAACCCTGACCTTGAGTTCGAATGTTTGATGGTTCCCTCTCCTTACTAGACGCGTCTGAGACAAGATTTTGACCATAGAAATAAATGCTGTGTTGAACTGAGTTATTAAGTAAGCTGGTCGTACGGACTTTCTTGCTCTTGACGTCTGTTTGTGCTCGTTTTTCCCTATACACATTGGCTTAGCTCGATAATACGTCGAGTTGGCTTTTTTGGGAAATGTCCTCTCTGCGGTTCAGTCCCCACTCGAGTGCGCGATCCAATGGTTAGTGCCATATATTACAAGCTAACGTTACTAGTGACTAGAAACTTTCGTCTGAAATGTTGGATGCTCAGTCTCTGCGACAGTGGTCGGATTTCTCTTCAGCGCCCTGAAGCCTTGTGCAATTGTTACATTCTCTGCAAATGGCGTACGAGGCTTCTTGACTTACGCATTAATCCAGATTTGGGCATTGTTTCTAATTTCCAACATGCATTTTAAGTGACGATCTTTAGCTAGCCAACAGGAATGTCATCGTTCTAAAAGACAAAACAATGAACCGGCCTACACAGTTGTTTTGTTATAATTAAATTCTACCAGTTCACGTATTCCACACCTTTTTACCCGATAACCGTGCGATGAGCTGTGTTAAATTTTCGGTATGTTTTCAGCCTAAATAACCCTTCGGTACTACCCAGTGTTCTGCTTTTGACTACGATGCTTTGGTCTGAAAAGATGCGCTGAACCACATGGGTTTTGCCGGTTGTACGGTTGGGTACAAATGACTCTTGGAATGGTGCAGGCCAAGAGGGTACGTCGAATCTGGCCGTGAATTGAGGTTGCTCAGTGTAACAAGCAATTCCATGGACCCTTGTTTCTGGACTGAAAACTCTGTCTTCAATGAGCTGGTATTCAGAAGTGGATGGTAGAGGGTATGACCCCTGGGTTCAAGTAGAACAGAAGGTTGTTGGAAACTCGGGGACTGCGCCTACCTGATGAACCCCAAGAAGGGCGAAACCGGTCGTGGGCTGTCGAAGTTTTCAGCAATCTCGTGAGTAGTTTCCTTCATGAAAAAAAGTATAACCCCTGAATAGGTTGCAGTGTGGATCGATGGAATGACTACATAAAAACCTTAAAAACCTCCGAGTGGATGGTGTACACTCTACAAAGGATTGTTATCTTCAGCCTGAAGACTCGATTTCACGTCACAATTTAGCGAGTCCACGGACGTTCTAGAAATAATTGATTTGCTTTTGAGTTCGCTAAAACCTTCGGAGGGGATCATTCAAGAACATGATGAGGGGCTTCTACTGAGTTTAATGAGGGACGTAGCACCGTTCTTGAGTTGAATTGTTTGAGGATGTCAATTACCGAAACCATAATTTCTTTAGGCTTAGAGTCCAGATTACCATCAAGGGCATCACCATAATGGATCGCATGACATCTGTGTTCAACACTGATGGTTGGTTACCGTACCAAGGTGGTTTATTTGAAAGCCTTATTGTGAAGAAAAGACTAAGGCTGGACAGAGCGAGGTGAAGCTTGATTTGTATGACAACGGTGGTTATACTACTGTATGATATTGTATGCTGTCGTTAACACACTTTGAGGCTCGCGTCGTTTCGTGAAGAAGGGGGTGGGTTGAGCTGTTCCTCTCTGCTCTCAGTTTTAGGTTACCGTGTTACAACTCCTAGGTCAATGGGTCTCTTTTAGAGCGCTCATTTCATTGTCATGTAAGCTCGTTTTTCGGGCGATTATACTAAATACACTGAAATATTCTAAATAAATTCAACCGGTGACCCAATCATTCGCCTCTCGTCTTATGTATGTAGATTTACTTTGTATGTGTGCGTGTGTGTGTGTGAAGTATGCTGTAGCGTCGTCCCACATACTCGTATTCGTACTCGCGTTTTTGGACTAGGAATTCACTCATGAAATATTACTGACAACTGACTGTGGAATTCAGAAGTTTTCACGCGCGGTTTTCGCTTCAAAATCCGTTGATTGCGGTCGTATGCTAATAATCCATCTTTTTTGAATATAGGTTAAAAGTTCAAAACCCATTGAATGATGATTTTCTTGTCAAGGATTATACTCATCTGTTTTAAGTGGGTAGATGTATGAATAGACGAAAGATTGTCTACTAGTTGGATCTGGGCAGTTCTGTTCGACGGTAACCGGTCGCCATGGAAAATCAAGCAGTACTGTTAGTTGATTGATATCGTCCTAACCTCACATTTTGAGATCGAGGCCGTTGAGGCGCGAAACTGTTGACCGAAAGGTCCATGGCTTTTTGGTTGCCCATATTTGCGCTTGGACAACGCGGCATTATCTCAGCCCTCTTGCTTTCTTTGAGTTGTACAGCAGCTGTGAACCGAAAGAGTAGCGCAGTTGAACGATTTCTTCCTATCATCAATCTCCACACCATTATTGAAGAAAGAACTGGGGTGTATTAGACATGGATTGCTGTCATCTTTGGGAAGCCTTTGAGGTTGTCCAAGTACACATCCATAATCTTATTAATAATATTTGAACAAAATCGTTTATGGTATTGTAGGATTCTATGAGTGTTTCTTAGAGTAGGTGGAACAAAATAGTGAGGAATGACAAAACACTAGGAGAAAACTGTATTTGGTAATTTGCACAAATAGAAATTCTGTACCCCATCAGAACCTCCAAGTAGAGCAACTAAGAGATGTGTGGCAAATTCAACAGGTGACTGTTGGGACACCGGTTTGTGTAGAATCAGTTAGCACCTTCCGAAGGGAAGGGAGCTCTGTCTTCGATAGTGTGCCTAATTTTCGAACGGTTGTAGAGAACCTTGTTCAGTCGTGGCACTCTCCCGGTGCATGTTTACAGTGGCACACAAAATAAGCATGAGTATTGAACCATAGATAGGCCTCGTACCGTAAACCTCGTTAGGATGTCTCATCCCAGCTTTCGTTTGTGAGCCCCAATTATAGCTTGTCCCCTTGAAGCTTCTGGGTAGCTTCCCTCATCTTTATGATGTGGTCCCGAATAAACAAATAGGCGATAAAGAGAACCGCATCTTGATGTTTCTCTTGTTGGATTGATCTTTGTGGCTTTGTTGTCCGCAGCAATCATGGAAGTACCATAAATTCATGTATGCATCTGACCTGCCTGTCATGTAAAACAACTGGTTCTTTGGCTGGAACGCCCCAGTGGTATGATGTCTCTGGGTATTTTTCGCTATTACAAATGTGGATAACTCTGACGTCGTGGTGTTTTGATCGTTTGTCTACCGAGCCCCGGGACTTCCAAGTCTTTCCATTTCCTCACCACCCTGATACTCTGAAGGGCATGACTGAAGTCCAGGAGTCCCTGTTCCCTACTCCCAAAAATTGAGGATGTTGTTTAATCTCCCGTTCCTTGTTCGTCATATGGTGCACACTTCCCTTGTGAGAGCTGTTGAATTACAAACGGCGCTAGAATGGGTTTGTTTCAGCCTTGATATGTATCGTTGCCGTATTTTGCTCCATTTACCCAGCCCATCCGTTTCTGCGCACGCACATTTGTTTTTCCTTTTCAGCTACGATCTTTATAGCGTTGCTCCGCCCTCTTCTACGTCCGATTTTCCTGAACGATAGGGGATCTTCAACAAACTACCCTGTCCACACAAGGTTTCAAAAGCATTCGGCATACAAGCTCAGTTTGTCCAACAGCTCCGGATTTTCCATCTAAACTCAATTATCTGCGACACGTTTTGACGAATTGACGCCTTCCATCGCCTAACTCTCCAACGTTGTAAATATGTCTATCGCTTTCTTTTATTCTCATGTACTTCTCGTTTCCAAAAATCGCGATGTGGGTAATGTTGGCGGAATTTCAAACGGTTATTTTCTTTTTCCCATCTACACAGGCTATCAAGCGCGATATGTCCCTATGAGTTGCCTGTGTGGTTATGGGTGTGGTGAAGGGTTGTATTACTTAGCTTTGTGTGTTGCCGCCATTCGAGTATGTTCCCTATTCCAGCTGAAACATTTACCGTGAGCCTTATAGTGGTGTTCACGCCACACCTTCCTCGTTCTTATTTTGATTGTTCACGTTTTTCAGAACTTGTACGCGTCGGTGTGTGTACAAACTCCCGACAAATATTGACGGAAGCTCCGAATGACGGTGCAGTTATCCACTAATGTTCTCATACTTGTGTTGATATCATTGATACTGATAAGGATGGTTGATCAAAAGGCAATAGGGAGTCTGATCAGAACTCTTTATGGTTTATTTGAACGGTGGGCACCACGCTACTTCCAACAACCTGCTTATATGTGTTAAATTTTCTATGGCACCATATAAGCGACAACGCGTATTTTGGGGTTGTCTGTGGTAGTTATACTGAGCTTGCTCAGAGAGATATTTACGGCAGTCTCTGAAGGGAGACCCCCGAGGGAAGGCCAATTAGCAGACGAATCCACAGTAAGCAGAACTCACTAGGTTTGTATAAGATTCCTCGTCTCGTCACCTTTCTACAGCTTCCACAGTTTTGATTCCGGAGTGAAAACCGAAGTACCATGACGTTTGAAAATGGGAACTCCATTGATTCATTCATAGACATAGGCCTATCGGATTGCTTATAGCATTACTTTTTGTACGTAATAAAATGAGATACTTAACTAGTCCACCCATATTTGAACTGTAGATGTCTCCTCGAATGGTGACGAAACATTTGGAAATCAACTGCCGGACAGATCACTTACGTAACCTGAGGGATAGGCTTATTTCTAGTTGTGATTCCTCTGGGGTGAAATAAGCAAATCCAAGCCGGATGATATTTGCTTCAATACAATCTAAAGTTTTTGATTGAGAAAGAGACCTCCCCATCCTTTCCACTGCGAACCAAGCTAGCTGAACCATGCTGGCTGAAATTTGCTGAGTGATACGTTGTCAAAGACATGAGGGAGTCAATCTAGCAGATGAACTTTAAGGTGATGAGTTTGTGCGACAGAGGCGACTATTTAGCTCGTATTTTTCTCGAGAAATGAGATCAGCTGATGAGACCACCTACCTCCAAATGCTCCGGACAGAAATATCCCCAACCGTTAATCCTGGAAGGGAAATAAACTAAAGACAATTTGCTCCATATTTTCCAGATTTCCGTAGGGCCCATTAGTGTTGTCTGGATAGGAGGTAACCGCGATAATGTCGTTAACATAGGAGTAGTGCATTACAGATATATACCTGTATCGCGATATCTCGAAACATAAGGCGGCCTGGTGCATCACATTCAGTTGTCTGGAAACATCACAAACGAGAGATTCAGCTGGCTTCCAGGTGAGTCTCTCGAAAAACCAAATTAGTTTGCAAATGAGTGTATTTCACTAAAAGGAGTTATGTTGAGGGAAGCATGTGTTCTCGGGGAGCAGCATGTTCTATGTGGCTGTTCTGGGAAACAACATTTATTCGCAGTTTTCATTTTAGCTAATCAAGCGTGGTTCCAGTCCGTTTATGAGCAGCCTGGCCAGTGTATCAACATCAAAAAACCCTACCGAACAGTTTCGACATATTAAGGACTTCTTTTATCGGAACAGTCACGATAGAAAGGCCAAGCGTGTTAGGCGTGAGCATAAGCCACGTTGCGCGATGCGGTTTTCTAGCCTGAAGGGAAAACATTGATAGACAAACATTCTGGCGAGCTCACAACAAGAGTTATGAAACAGACTTGAGGGTTGTTTTTCGAACAAAGTCCTTCGGAGCTATGTCAAGGAGCGGCGAATGCTTTCCTGGCAAAGGTGATCCGAAAGGGATATGATTATACGAGTCTTGGATTGTGATACACACAGGCGAAAAGCAGGTACTGAGGAGAACGGTGAACACCAGTACGAGGTTGTCCCCCAAAGATGGCATTTTCTGAAAATGTCTCGGTTTCAAACTCCTCAACATTACGGGCGAAAGAATGCCTCCCAGGATAGGCGCTTCGAAGTAGACAGCAGCTTGGTCACCTAGACTCACCCTGCATCAGGGCTTTGATTGTTTAGGTATGGCAACAATAACAGATCCATCCTGCAGACGCCGTTTGGGATTTCATTAATGCCATTAAATAGAATGAATCGGTGACAGGACGCGATTTGTAGTCAGGCTGTCTATGCAACCTCTGGGATAAAATTAACATAATCGTTGAGCTGTAACACCCTTCCGGTGTCTAGCTGCTATGCCACTCGAAGGCTGGGATGCTGCTAGGTTGCCCACGGCTAGATAGGAGAAGTCGAAATGCAGGGGGCAAGTTCGAACCCCGGACCTTTCGGTCGGTGAATTCGAACTGTTACCACTGAGCCATGCTGCTGACGATGTGGCACAGAGAAGCGTGCGTCCCTGAACCTTTTGTTTTTTCCTACAGGGATAAGATTCAACTTCATCCAAAAAATGGCTGATAACAGTAATGTCTGACCACTTTTCCGTTACTCACACTGGCAAATTTTGGACTGTATTTCAGGTCAGTAAGAAATTTCTTCAGTACATTTCCATCGTGATTGATACTCTGTACCCAATTGTAACGAAAAATGCTACAAAAGAATAACTGAAAGAGCGTGCTTTCCGGGAAAGGGCGCTTCGAAGAAGGGAGCTGGTCCCGATGCTCTTCGGGAAATCGTTGTGATCCATCAACCTCAACATTAAAAAAAATACAACTCGAGAGAATATTTTTAAATAGTTTCTCGGAACTTTTCCTCTGGATCAAAGATATTAAGATAACGTCTGTGAAGTTCTTGCATGCTTACATAGTGCAGAGGTGGTCTATGCATCCGGGGCGGGTCGCGAAAAATCATTATTCCGTTCGTATGTGGATCCATTTAGATCTGTCTTGTAAATCCTGTGGATGTTGGTTCAAAGGTTCTCTGGTTACAGTTGAATTAAGTAGTTGTTTACTGAAATTATTTTCCATTTTAAAAAGTGGAAAATAGGGCCAAGAATCGAAGACGGACACACAATATGCGCTGGGTTTGTTTCAAGCCTACCTAGCCAATCTGTCGCGAAAAGATTGTAATGGGAGGCGAGTTTTATGTCATGTCATTTTTAATCAAGTCTTTTGAGTAAGTTTAATACTGTGGCTTATAGTCTAGGATTGACAGAAACATCACCTTTCTTAGTCTCTTTCCTCAGCTGGCTTCCAGGTGAGTCTCTCGAAAAACCAAATTAGTTTGCAAATGAGTGTATTTCACTAAAAGGAGTTATGTTGAGGGAAGCATGTGTTCTCGGGGAGCAGCATGTTCTATGTGGCTGTTCTGGGAAACAACATTTATTCGCAGTTTTCATTTTAGCTAATCAAGTGTGGTTCCAGTCCGTTTATGAGCAGCCTGGCCAGTGTATCAACATCAAAAAACCCTACCGAACAGTTTCGACATATTAAGGACTTCTTTTATCGGAACAGTCACGATAGAAAGGCCAAGCGTGTTAGGCGTGAGCATAAGCCACGTTGCGCGATGCGGTTTTCTAGCCTGAAGGGAAAACATTGATAGACAAACATTCTGGCGAGCTCACAACAAGAGTTATGAAACAGACTTGAGGGTTGTTTTTCGAACAAAGTCCTTCGGAGCTATGTCAAGGAGCGGCGAATGCTTTCCTGGCAAGGGTGATCCGAAAGGGATATGATTATACGAGTCTTGGATTGTGGTACACACAGGCGAAAAGCAGGTACTGAGGAGAACGGTGAACACCAGTACGAGGTTGTCCCCCAAAGATGGCATTTTCTGAAAATGTCTCGGTTTCAAACTCCTCAACATTACGGGCGAAAGAATGCCTCCCAGGATAGGCGCTTCGAAGTAGACAGCAGCTTGGTCACCTAGACTCACCCTGCATCAGGGCTTTGATTGTTTAGGTATGGCAACAATAACAGATCCATCCTGCAGACGCCGTTTGGGATTTCATTAATGCCATTAAATAGAATGAATCGGTGACAGGACGCGATTTGTAGTCAGGCTGTCTATGCAACCTCTGGGATAAAATTAACATAATCGTTGAGCTGTAACACCCTTTCGGTGTCTAGCTGCTATGCCACTCGAAGGCTGGGATGCTGCTAGGTTGCCCACGGCTAGATAGGAGAAGTCGAAATGCAGGGGTCAAGTTCGAACCCCGGACCTTTCGGTCGGTGAATTCGAACTGTTACCACTGAGCCATGCTGCTGACGATGTGGCACAGAGAAGCGTGCGTCCCTGAACCTTTTGTTTTTTCCTACAGGGATAAGATTCAACTTCATCCAAAAAATGGCTGATAACAGTAATGTCTGACCACTTTTCCGTTACTCACACTGGCAGATTTTGGACTGTATTTCAGGTCAGTAGGAAATTTCTCAGTACATTTTCCATCGTCATTGATACTCTGTACCCAATTGTAACGAAAAATGCTACAAAAGAATAACTGAAAGAGCGTGCTTTCCGGGAAAGCGCGCTTCGAAGAAGGGAGCTGGTCCCGATGCTCTTCGGGAAATCGTTGTGATCCATCAACCTCAACATTAAAAAAAATACAACTCGAGAGAATATTTTTAAATTGTTTCTCGGATCAAAGATATTAAGATAACGTCTGTGAAGTTCTTGCATGCTTACATAGTGCAGAGGTGGTCTATGCATCCGGGGCGGGTCGCGAAAAATCATTATTCCGTTCGTATGTGGATCCATTTAGATCTGTCTTGTAAATCCTGTGGATGTTGGTTCAAAGGTTCTCTGGTTACAGTTGAATTAAGTAGTTGTTTACTGAAATTATTTTCCATTTTAAAAAGTGGAAAATAGGGCCAAGAATCGAAGACGGACACACAATATGCGCTGGGTTTGTTTCAAGCCTACCTAGCCAATCTGTCGCGAAAAGATTGTAATGGGAGGCGAGTTTTATGTCATGTCATTTTTAATCAAGTCTTTTGAGTAAGTTTAATACTGTGGCTTATAGTCTAGGATTGACAGAAACATCACCTTTCTTAGTCTCTTTCCCTGTTGGATTATTCGAAGAGGTTCCAGAGCTATTCACTAACCTGTTTACATCTCCCTGACAGGAGNTTACTCGAAGGGTTCCAGAGCTATTCACTAACCTGTTTACATCGCCCTGACAGGAGGCCTTGCTTATTGTAAAGGTAGACTACTTTAGAAAGCAACAACTTGTACGCTAGCCTAGAAACGACACATGAGGTTTGCTAACATCAGTTGTCATCTGTTTCAAGGCAACAATGTCAAGGTTGGAGAATACTTCCACACTGTGATTCTGAACC